TTTTGGGAGATAGTAATAATTTTTACTGTTAAGAGTCCTACTAATTAACCCATAGCTGGAGGTGAGAAGAGGTGAATTCATACCTTTCCCAAAGTTATTTGCGTATAAGTGAATATAACGAACCCAACTGGAATTGGAACTTGACTTTCCAACTCCGAGTCGTTATCCATTACGCTAACCGAAAATCCAAACTTACAGCATCTGGTATTCCTAAGTGGTTACCCATGTAGAAACTGACCATAATTAATGTTGCTTAACTTCGGTGATAGTACGAAAACCGGTGTTTCAAAGTGATATGGTCGTATGGTAGTACTGGATTTCAAAGAACTTGACATATACTAGTCCTTGGTAATTCGAGACCAGGGACTTAATAATTTCTGTAACAAATGCGGGTAGTAAATTTGGGGGACGGAAGTAGAAAGAAGAAAGCGGGTAGTATGGAATCCTGCAGTTAGCTATATTTCATCAATCTGTCCAGACCGTGTGGATAAGTCCCAAAGGGTGGAGACTCAACGCAAAAACACACACACACACACACACACACACACACACACACACACACACACACACACACACACACACAAAAAAAAAAAACCCCCAAAAAAAAAAAAAAAAAAAAAAAAACAAAAAACAAACACGTAATTGCTAAAATAACAACTTTACTTTGGTAACTTTCACCCAGAAACAGTGTGTGGTTCTGGTCGCTGGAAAAGGGTTAAAGACTTCCTTGTAAGTACCAGTTAGTATTTTCAGCTCTTGTGACAATTTCCTGTCAATGAGCAGAGGAAGCTAAACAGAACAAGAACTCATCAGTCAGCACCATAAACTGGCCATTTCCTCTGTCTGCTGTTCCCATCCATTTCTCCTTTGACTCTATCACTTGCTTTCTGTTTTTTTCCTTCCCATCATGCTCTCTTTGCATCACATGACTAGGAGACAAATATATCTAGAAATGTGTTTATTTGAAATAATGTGATTCATTTCCTATGACAAAGTCAAAGAAGCCGAGGAGGAAAAAGAAACGAGATAATAATAAAGAATTGGTACAATCACAGATGAAGAAAAGACGAATGTGGTTCTACAGAAGGATGCTGAGAATACCATAGACTGAAGATGTGAGCAACAACTAAGTTTTAGAGAAAACGGAAACAAAAAGGAGAGTTATACTTAACATCAGAAAGAGACAGCTAAAATTCCTAGGTTACATAACGAGGAAAGACGGCTTGGGAAATTCAACACTCACAGAATGTATTGAAGTCAAAAGGGACAGCAGAAAATAGACTTACCTATCTTGTGTAAATGGATAATAGAACAGAATTTTGGAGAGATAGAAAAAAAAAGATAAAATTTACAAAATGGAAACTGTGGCGAGCCATGATCGCCAACGTTCTGAAGGGACTTAGCACAAAGAAGAAAAAGAAGAAGAAGAAGAAGAAGAAGTAGGAGGAGGAGGAGGAGGAAGTGAAGAAGAAGAAAAAGAAAAAGAAGTAGGAAGTGAAGAAGAAGAAGAAGAAGAAGAAGAAGAAGAAGAAGAAGAAGAAGAATGTGCTTGTATAAATGGATGGCGGAATAGGGTTTCGGAGAGATTGCAAAAAAAAAAAACAAAATTTACTAAGAGTTACAAAAGACAAGCAGTTGTGGAGAGCCATGATCGCTCACGTCCTGAATGGACACGGCGCACGGAAGAAGAATGAAAGATATTGTCTCTTAAATGATTATCAGGATAGCAAATAAGATGAGAATTCTTTCAATTACCTGAAATATAAAAACATCTAATACATTGCTGATACATAATCAAGATCTATAAACATTCATTTTTCATGAATGCATTGTTAGCAGTCATGGAATTTTAATAAAGAGTTGAATTCAAACAGGATCGGGGCAAGGGTTTCGTTCCCCACCAAATCTATGATACAGGCCCACCCTCTTTACTACGTCTCAATTTTCATTTGTCAGGAAACAAAGGGGACCCAACCACAACCACAATGCGATTATTTATTTTCATAACGAATAAATAAAATTAAAAAAGATACATATGGAAAAAAAGGTTGCAATTAAATATTTTATGGAACAAAACTGTGTATTTCTTAGTAATTACAGTTTACATGTATTCAGAGCCAGTGCAAGGGTCTTGTGACCCCCAAATCTGTTATACTGGGGCTTCTACTCTACTAAATCTCAATTTTCATAAGGTAGTATTCATATAAATACAAAATTTTATTGTAACTTAATTATGTACAGTAATGATTTTTATGCAATATAGGTTCAACTAGAAAAATTGAAAGTAAATACAATGTAACTAAATATAAATGACGACATATATGATTCCATTTTGAATAAATCGACAATGTTTTTGAGGCAATTTTTAACATCAATTTAAGATTTTTCTTCTTAGAAAGTTGAATAATTTTAACACATTCAACATTATGGATAAAAGAGTGAATTTTATATAGTGCTTTTTTCGAGACTTAGCATGAACAAAAAAATATAACGGATTTGGAGGGAAAAAAAGAAGAGTGACGTCAAAATCCACGAAAATCTTTCATCCTTTAATAGTCAGTTGTTCTTAGTTTAAATTGTAACGTATATGAATGTAGGTAGAAAAAAGTCAAATGTTGATACAGAAGGTGACAAAACACTGTCTGGGCGGGCCCTTGTAGCGGACCGTGGGTTTACGTGTTGTTAAATTAGGAACACGTGTGTTTATTCCTCCTACAAGAAGGTTCACTACAAGAGCATGGCGGACTCAGATCCACCATAAAGAAGTGTAAAGAAAACCAACAAGACCGATATATATATATATATATATATATATATATATATAAAAGAACAATAAGATATATAATCCGTTGTGTTCTTATAGATATTTTTATTTTTACAAAATAGTGCTCAATGTAAATTTACGGAGCATTAATATTATAAATTAACTGATTTAAAATATGTTTTTTTTTCGCTACACAGTTCTAACCATGTTTCAAAAATGGAAGCTAAAAGCTTCGAATTTAATTTTGTAATTAAATTAAAAACATTAGTTCCATTTCATCCTCAAGCGAATTTTGGAGTAACTTATTTTAAAATTTACTGAGTTTTAAAGGTACGGCAAAAGTTCATAATTCACTGTTTCCAAGGATACAGAGAAATCCACTCATCCAGACAAGGGGTGGTTGCGTGTTCATTTTAATTAACTTTTGTTGTATCAAGTATATATATATATATATATATATATATATATATATATATATCAACAAATATATGTATTAAACAAAAATTTACAATGGACATAGATATTAGCATTTGCGTTTGTGTGTGAACGTAAAGAGTTTGTATTTTGGTGTATGTTCGTACGTACGTGTATGTGTATATAATGTTCATGGCGTCTCCCACAAATGAGAAGACGCAATTTTCTGCGAGAGCTTACATTGTAGATGTGATCACTGAAAATGAAGAAATGAAAAAGAGAACGAGACAAGAAATCGCCCAGTATTTATAGTGTGGGGAGAGCGTCCCCTAGCGAACAATTTGAACAATTAAGGTGAAGTTAACTCCGTCACTCTAAATCAGGATTGAAAACGGGGTATTGTGGAGTAGTACGCGTCGGCGCTGGATTCAAATAATGTGCAGAGAAGGGATTTCTTAATTTTCAAAATGCTGATAAACACATCCTCCAATTTATTTGAAAGACAAGAGTATAATAAAAGGTTCTATAATGACATTTAACTTTCTCTATCTATAAAAGGCAGGATGTGTGTGCATGTGTAACGAATGCACGGCCGCAATTTTCGACGGATTTGCGCCAAAATTTACATGCACATGCTCCAAGTTAGCGGGAAGGCCAAGACCGACTTTGCATTTCCCAACTCCCATCAATAGTGGAAATAATCGATTTTTTCCTGCTTCTACGGCAGTTTTCATGTAGTTTGTGGCCATTTTCTACTGGCCAGAGTGAGAGCCTATAGCTGGCTGCCACGAATAGGCAGGAAGATTCTATTGGCCAACGTCAGAGCCAACAGCTGACTGACACGAATGTTAACTAGCATCGATAGCTGCATTCGTCACAAGTGGGAAAAATTTAAATCTGCATGGCACTTTACTCCAATTGGCTCATTCGCTTGCTTAAACTCAACGTTGATTCTGATTCCGCAGAGCTGGGTTGGGTGTGAAAAAGTATTTGTTGTTAACATTCTTTTTTCATTCGGTTTTCTCAGTTACGAGTTCTTTTTTTAAAGCTGATCGTTTTGTGTTCATTTTGTTTAGTTCTTTTTTCGTAACAGATTTAATGTTTAGTATAGAGCTTAGAAAAAATTCGCAGTGTGAGATAGGCAAGAAGTAAGGCATGTAGCAACATCGGCACAGCAAAGGGCACTCCTTTAAAGGCAAGGAAGGGCAAAAATATTTTAAGTCAAATGATAGCGATTGCTGTATGAGTCGTACGATTTTTGAATCAAGCACGGGCAACGCCGGGTCATGCTGCTAGTTCATTATATAAATTATGATAATGGTGTAAAAATTTGATTGTTTTTCTTTGTATTTGCTGTGTTACAACTGCAGAATTTCCCAATGAATCCTGAATACAGCAATTCAAAAAGTATAAAAGAAGATATGGTATATAAAATCCATTAATAAGTTAATATTGAGAAGAGCACGCCTGGAAAGAAACTGATCTTCTTAAGTAACATGTTTTTTAGAACATAGGCAGTCATAGCTCCCCTCAACTTACCATCTCAACTTAGCATATAGCAAAGCTTACTTCCTTACCAAAGATTTCTTAGAACCTATCTTTAACTTTTGTGGTCTTTGATTTGCCATCTATTTATTCAAATTCATAAAGTAGGTTGATTGCTGTTAAAGAAATATGAAAATTAATATTGATTGGTTGATTTGTATTTTTACGGCTTCTCAAATAATTTTAATTGAATACATCGAACCCAACTGGAATTGGAACTCGCCTCTCCGATTTCCACTTTTGAGCTATTATCCATTACACCAGCCGCACATCCAAGCTTACAACACTTGGTATTCCCAAGTAGTCACCCATCTAGATACTGATCAGGCTCGACATTGCTTAACTTTTGTTATCATACGGGAACCGCTGTTTCAACGTGATGTGGCCGTAAGCTATGAAAGTAGAGATTGAACCTTCCCAACAACAACCCATCTTTTTTCTCCAGCGGCCATCAGAAAAAATGGCTGAAGTTAAGCAATGTCGAGCCTCATCAGTATCTAGATGGGTGACTATGTTCCCAGACTTTGGAGACACCCTGTACAAGGTCTCGGACACTTTCAAGTGACAAACTGAATGTGCCCTGCTGATAAAGGAAAAATACGAGACACAAATCTGAAAACACATAGCTGGAAATATTGACAAGCATATATGAATATCAAATCACGAAATGAAGATTGTCTTGAATGGTCACTCTTCTAGATTTTTTTGCATAAATGCAGGTGTTTACCATGGCTCTATCTTTGCACTTACGTTATTTCTAATTTTCTGAAATCAACTCGGTATCTATGCTGATGATACAACTATTTAATCCTGTTTTAATAGCAAGTCTAATAGGTTCAGATCAAATTGTCAGCTGATCTCAAATTGTTAACTGGGGCAAGGAGTGGCTTGGTAACTTTAACGCCTCAAAAACGAAACTGCTCTCTTTTAATCATCTGAGAGAAAACTTTTTTTACTTTCTATCAACATGGCTGATGCTAACCTCCAGGACAGTGACACCTTGCATATTTTCGAATCAATATTGAATCAATTGCTAAGACTACAGCTAGGAAAGTTGTTTCACTACGTCATGCTAGACATTTTTTTCTTCAAAATGTATCTTACATATTCATAAATCTATCATTCGTCCTTGCTTTAAATGTTGCCGCCACATTATTTATTATATTGTTTGTTTACATTAATTATTTATTATATTGCTTATTGGAATGGCTGGTAAAATATCGATATACTGCCAATTGATTCGAACTTTATAAAATGGTAAATAATAAGGATTTCCTTTTAGTTGGTTCACATATTTTAATAATTTAGTAAATGTTTATAAATTTATGAAGAAAAAATTGTTTTCACATTTAATTCTATTAGGTCGGTGCATAATTATCAGCCGTTTTTTAAACAATATTTATTTTGATAAAAGAAAATAACAATTCAACAATAACATTTTAAAATGATATCTCTCTCTCTCTCTCTCTCTATATATATATATATATATATATATATATATATATATATATATATATATATATATATATAAGTAAAAGACAATCCTTAAAAATCCATTTCGGTTATAATTTATTTCATGAATATATTTAAATATCCATCTCTTCAGACTGAGTTTTTTTTTTTAGAAATGAAATTATTTGTCCAAACAAAAGGAAGAGGGAGAGGAAAAAAGAAAAAAAAACGAAAAGGTAATATTTTTATAATAAAACAGGAAGAAAAAAATTTCAATAGAAAATTAAAAAAAAATTAGTGAAGAGAGAGAGAGAGAGAGAGAGAGAGAGAGAGAGAGAGAGAGAGAATAATGAGAGGAAGAAAGAGAGGTGAGATGAGGAGGGAAAGAAAAGAAAGGAAAGAAAAGAAAGGAAAGAAAAGAAAGGAAAGAAGGATGAATTAAAGATGAGCCGATAGGTTTACCTAGAAACAAATTTTTTCTTAAAGGGATGAACAAATTAATATACTGGCTAAGGGAGAGGGTAATCAGAATTGAAAGAGATACAGTAATATGTCTAATACTCATGTCATTTCAGACAGCAAAAACTCATCATAGCATTATAATCATCACAATTTCAAATTAATAATAATAATAATAATATTCAACATCAATAAATTAAATTAAATAGAATAACAAATTTAAATAATATAAGAAATAAAAATAAATAATTAAATAAATCAAGAGATAAATAAAGAAAAAATTAAAGAACAATTTAAAAAATATAGATAAGTATAAAAATAATAAATATAATGCTATCAATGATATTAATATCAAAATAATATTAATAATATAAAACTATAAATAATGTAGGCAAGACAATAACATAAATGACCATATACAAAAATGTGATTACACGTATGCATACAAGTTAGTAACCATATAAAACAGAATCAACACTTCAAGTTATTATATTGCTCTTTTACTTATATTGAGCTCTCTTTGGATTAATGCCCTCCTTGAATTATCCCCACCAATTACCAATTGGTATATATATATATATATATATATATATATATATATATATATATATATATATATATAATTCGCAAACAGTACTGTTTCGCTGTATCAAAGCTCCTATATTGCGACTACACAACCGAATGCCTCAATATAATATGCGAACAGTACAATGCATTCTAAGTATATATGGGAAATTAAAACAAAACGCACATCACACCAAAAATATCTTGGAAAATAAGGAAAAGATCATCAGCCTACAAGAACCAATCAAAAACTTGCAAACTTTGCTTAGAGGAAAAAATAGCTATCATTACTTTCTCAGACCAAAATAAATTATTAAATAAAAGATCCGAGCTCATCTCAAAATGCAGACATGAAAACAAATTTTTACTACATTACTTAAAAATCGAAAATGGAAAAAAATAAAATAAAATAAAATAAATAAATAAATAAACAAAATAACAATAAAATAAGCAAAATTAATTAACCCAAACAAATTGCCAAATCACACCTGTTAGAATAGACGAAATAGAATAAAAAAAACCCAATTAACTCAAATACATAAAATAAATAATAAACAAATTAACAAACCATTATGACCAAAATATTAGTTAGACTATAAAAATCAAACCAAAATATCGGGCGAAAAAATAGCTATAACTGTTATATAACGATAAAAAAATTACTTACTTAAAAATCGAAAACCGAAAAGAGAAAAATATACGGTATAACAAATAAATAATAACAAGTAAAATAAATTGACCTAAATTCATCCAAATAAATAAAGAAACTAATCCCGATAATCTAACCGTTAGAAAAAACAAATAAAGATAATCAATCCAAATAAATACATGAAGTAATAAACAAATTAAAAACTGCTCCCGCCAAAATAATAGTTAGAATAAACTACAACAATCAACCCCAAAATTGAATAAATAGCTTTAATTATCTTCCCAAACCCAAACTATTAAATAAGCGATATAAACAAATTTTTACTACGTTAATAAAAACACCGATTAAAAAATAAATAAATATATAAGATAAGAAATAAAAGTAAAAAAAATAAAAATAAATAAAAACAAGCAAAATAATTTAACCCAAATAAATAAATGAACAAAAAAACGACTTCCGGTAAAATAACCGCCAAAATAGACTTCCCACAATGCACTACTGACCCGTATATATATAAATAGTCGAGAAAAATAACAGCACTCATGAATTGACGATTGCATCTAGCATGAAACAGACTGTCGCCTCTAAATGTTGACTTCTATGTTCACTTTTATATATACACACACTCTATCTCTGATATTGAGCACTTTATCCCATAAATATAGCACATCTTAAGACTATATTTCTTCATATATATATATATATATATATATATATATTGAAATAAGTAAAAGTCTCACTTTGTAAACGAGGTCAACATTACCCTCTCTTTGAGAAGGGAACATTAATATGGTTGTTTCTCTCGAATGACCTTTAGTAATTCAAGTGAACTAACCTTCCACATATGTTTTATTTAGAGCATCTGGTTTCAAATGAAAGAGACTTTAAGCACAAAATCTTGCAAAAAGATTCAAATCAGAACAAGTTGTCAAGCCAAATCTCTACTTGTGCGGTATCAGTTCTGCATCAGTTAAAATCAAATCAGTTCCCGCTATGATTGACTTTGAACATTTTTTCTCTCATGTTTGAGATCAACAGTATATTTGGGCAGCAAACCCTCTTTTATACAAGTTTATTTAAAAAACCCTGACAAGGTAACGCCATTAATATTTTATTTAATTTTTCTTGTGTTTGTATAAGTGTTTTCTTTTCTGGATATAAAGTGTTTAAAAACTGGCCGAATGTTTTATATATCTGACAACTTTTGGCTATTCTATTAGCCATTATCAAGGATGTTTTTGTTTTTTTTAACTGAATGTGTAGATTTTTATATATGTTTCTAGAGTGATTGGAGTGTCTTATTTTCCAAACACAGTCAGTTGTGGCCTTTAATGCTATTGAGTGTTGGCAGGACATTTGGGCAATTTACACACTTTATGCCCATGAAAGAAAACACTTGTGCGAACACAAGTAAAATTGAAGAAAAAAACTTAATCGCAGTATCTTTTCAGTCATCGTTAATGAAACACACACACACACACACACACACACACACACACACACACACACACACACACACACACACACATATATATATATATATATATATATATTTAAAGATATATTATTAAATATAACAAACAATGACTCTCAACTATATTTGATCATGAGCCGTTCTAAACTTGTATGATTGCTTTAATTTCGGGTGAAAATAACGACAAAAAAATTTAACCCGAAATTATAGCAACCATATGAAGTTTAGAACGGCTCATGATCAAACATAATAGACATTCGTTGTCTGTTACATTTAACATTATATGTTTAAATAATGATCTGTTGCCCTAAATATATATATATATATATATATATATATATATATATATATATATATATATATATATATAAGTGAATATTGTATTCAATTTTTAACACCGACAGTCTGTTTCATGCATATACACAATACTCATGGCCTGACAATTGCGTATAAGCATGAAACAGACTGTCGCTGCTGGGTGTTGAATTTTATGTCCATTTTCTTTTATTTACATCCGCTCTATCTTTGATATTGAGCACTATTCACTCTATCCCTGATATATATATATATATATATATATATATATATATATATATATATATATATATATATTTAGTGAGTTAGATAAACCTACCTAGGTTTCATTTAAACGGATCGTCAGGGTTTGGTTTGGCCAAACTTTCCCTGACGATCCGTTTAGGTGAAACCTAGGTAGGTTTGTCTGACTCACTAGGTGTATCTAGGTCTGCTCTACGGTTGTATTGAGCTCTTTTGTTAGTTAGTTGTTTACTCG